ATAGTGCCTTCTCTGTATCTGAGACTCAGTACTGGCCTGCGGAGACTTTTATGGACGTATCTCCAAGGTGTCCACCTTGACATATATTTCCTTTACTTTAATGTTTCCTCTCCTTCAAATTCTGGGTCTAACTGTCCACCTGAATGTCCCACTTGTACCTCCAACTCAACATACCCAAAGGTGAGGCTCTGAGCCAGGCGAGTAGTGATAGTGAAGACGAAGAGATGTGGATCAAGTGGAAAAACGTACACGAGGTAAAATTCATAAGAGGTGATGATTGACTGGATATGGAGATGGTGGGATGGGAGGAACTGAGGATGGCTTCCAGGTTTCTGGTTTGGGCAACTGGAGGGATATTGGTTCTACAAAAAGAGAGGATCCCTGGGAGAAGAAGCATTTGGGGCTTGAGGGAAGTGACCCCTGAGTCTTGGACCTGGTGAGGTAGGTGTTAGGGAACTCTCAGGTGAGGACACCCAGAGGCACATTGTACATCTGCATTTGGAGCCTAAAGGAAGGAATGGAGATTTAAACTTGGCGCCATGAGTACGTTGTGGTTGATAAAACTGTAATCCTCCAAGAGATACCATTCCAAGAAACAGAAGCCAAGTGTGGAGGCTCCGTCAGTGGAACAGGAATAGGAAGAGGATTTAGCAGTACTGGAAGGCATTCTCGGGAGCAAAAGTACAAGAAATCATGTTGTCATGGAAAGAGATAAGAAGTGGTTTTTCCAGAAAGAGGAAATGGTTGGCCTCCTCACAAGCCATGAAGAGGTCAAAAAGATAAGCCTGAAGAGATTCACTAGGTCTGGCAACATGAGGTCACAGGAACTTTCTGGGGGGTGTTAAACAAATTGTTGGGGTGGAAGCCAAATTGGAGCCGTTCAGAGTGGTGAGGGAAAGGTGGGCACAGGCCATTCCGTCAAGGAGCGTGCATGGGAGAGGAGAAAAGAGAGAGAGCAGGGCTGGAGGGAGAGTGGGATGGAAGGTGGCAGTGGATTCCTGGTTGAGTCCCTTCTGCTGCGCATCTTAAGGTGCAAGGACTTCCCAGACGACTTCAGACCCCCAAATCTGCTTCACTTGCTTTTTGGGACTTGCTTTTAGTTAACTTTAAAAATAACAAATTTTGGAGGTCATGCAACTGAGCGATGTGTTATTAGTCACCAAGGGCTCTGTAATGTGACACCTCTGATGTGCAGGTCATGATGGTAACAATTACTCAGGTCATTTTAGGGATTTGAAGGCCATTTTTATCAAAACTGCCAACTCTTCCCTGGGGACTGCACAGGTGATCAATAAGTGATCTTTGGAGGTCAGAAGGTGAAAACCCCGTCCTTAGACCACGCTGATGCCTGCATTTTTTGAACCATCTTCTCTTGAAGAGGGAAGATAGATTCCACATGTGTGGCCCACGATGATGTGACCTCCAATCACCTCTCCCCACACCTTAAATTACCCTTCTTCTTTATCCCATAAATGTGCCCAAACCCTATCCTTGGGGAGATGGATTTGAGACTGGAGTCTCCTGTCTTAGTTGCCTTGCAGATAAACTCTGTTGTGCAACTCATCGTTTCTGTGACTGCAAAATGGCCTGGTGTGGTTGCCCTCTTTGAGCCCTTGACTCCTGTCCCATGACTGATGTGCCATTGGGTAGATGCCCGTTGGCATCTTGATCTGATGCCAGTGGGCAGCTCCACAGTGGGAGTCCAGCAGGACTCTGACCCGCCCCCCAGCCTGCTCTTCCTTGACTGCACACCTCCCCAGTCACTTCACTAAAATCCCAGGAGCCATCGGTCCTTCATGTTGTTGTGTTTATTTATTTATTTATTTATTTAAAGTTTTTTACACCTTTACTTTATTTATTTATTTTTATGTGGTGCTAAGGATTGAACTCAGGGCCTCGCACGTGCTAAGTGAGCRCTCTACCACTGAGCCACAAACCCCTCTCCAATTTTGATATATTTATATCACTGTGGATACCTGGGTGTTTATTTGATTCTTCCAAAGGACATATGGTCATCTTTTTGCCTTATTTCTCAGTTTGAGGATACTTTTTCTAATAATAGTAAAGACATTCCACCATAGGACAGTCCAAAAGACACACAGATGGCTGTCCCAAAGGGCCATTGGGGAAAAATGGCAATCAATCAAAATTCCTCAAAATTAAAATTTTTGGCTCCTCTAAAGACAGTGTTAAGATAGGGCTGAGGCTGGGGTTCAGTGGCAGTGTGCTTGCCTAGCATGTGTGAGGCACTGGGTTCGATCCTCAGCACCACATGAAAATAAAGCAAATAAAATAAAAGCATTCTGTCCATCTACAACTACAAAAACATTTAAATAAAAAAAAACATAAAAATAATAAAATAACTTAAAAAGATGCTGATAAAACAAGCCTAGCCTGGGAGAAAAATATTTGCAGGAGCTAGGGATGTGGCTCTCAACATGTGAAAACATGTTGAGAGCCACAGCCCAGTTGGGATGGCACCTAGCATTTTGCGAGTACTTTTGAGTTCTTGTGGAGTTCCCGTTGAGTTCCGGTTGAGCTCTTGAGGGGATTCCTGGAGAGTTCGAGTTGGTGGTTGAAGTTCTGGTGGAGGGACTTCCGGGTGGTGTGTGGTGTTCCTGGGGGCCGCGTGGGTGGTGTTCGGGAGAGTTCCCAGGGAGTGTGGGGAGTGTGCTGGTGGAGTTCGGAAATAAAGTTTGTTCCTGCTTGAGTGGCTCATGATTTGTGCCCAGCCAGACTGGGGCAAAAACAAAACAAAAGCAGCCAAAGAAAAGATACATTATACTTCATTAAAATCAACAATTTATCTGGGTGTGGTGGCCACGCCTGTAATCCCAGCAGCTCTGGAGGCTGAGAAGGGAGGATTCCAAATTCAAGGCCATCCTGGGCAATTTATCAAGGCCCTGTCTTATAAGAAAGAATAGAAAGCACTGAGGATGTGGCTCAGTGGCAAAGTGCCCCTGAGTTAAATCCTCAGTACCCCCCTGAAAAAAAGATTAAAATTAAAAATCAAATCGAAAGCTTTTGTGGGGGCTGGCGGGTACAGTTCAGTGGTTGAGTGCTTTGGGCTCCATTCTAGCATTGTGAAAAACAAACAATAACAACAAAATCTTTTGTGTTAAAGGACAATTATCAAGAAAGTTTGGGGAAAGCCAGTAGTTGTGTGGTGCACGCTTGTAATTCCAGCAACTCAGAAGGCTGAGGCTGAAGAATCACAATTTCAAGGTCAGCCCCAGCAATTTAGTGAGGCACTAAATTGCCTCTTTTTTTCTCAAGAAAAAAAATAAAAAGGGGGTAGAGAAAAGAAAAGAAAGTGAAAATATTACTCATAGAATGAGAGAAAATTGGAAAATCATCTCTAAGGGCTTAGTACCTAGAATGTATGAAGAACCCTTACAAATCAACAATACAAAGAAAATTAACTCATTAAAAAATGGAAAAAGGATTTGAATAGATTCTTCTCCAAAAAGAGGTACATGAAAATATGCTCATTTTCATTAGACATCAGAGAAGTGCAAATAAAATCACAATGAGCTACCATTTCATGTCTACTGAGGTGGCTACACTAATAAAAACTATGGGAATATGGAAAAATTGGAACCCTCACATATTACTGATGTGAATATAAAATGGTGCAGCCCATGGGCTGGGGTTGTGGCTCAGTGGGTAGAGTGCTTGCCTCACACATGTGAGGCACTGGGTTTGATTYTCAGCACTACATATAAATAAATAAAATAAAGATCCATTAAGAAATACAAATTTTTTAAAAAAAAATGGTGGAGCATATATGCAACACAGTTTGGCAGTTCCTCAAAATATTAAAAATATAGTTACCAAATGACCCAGTGATTCTATTTCTTGGTATCTACTCAAAAGTGAAAACATGTTCACACTAAAACTTGTACACCAGTGTTCATAGCAGCATTATTCATAATAGCACAAAGTGGAAACAACCTAARTATCCATTCACTGATGAATGAACACATAAAATATGGTCTATTCACACAATGGAATATTACTTAGCTATAAAAAATGAAGTCCATTGCAGATGAACCTTGAAAATATCACTCTAAGTGAAAGAAACCAGATACAAAAAAACAATACTGTATATGATTCCTCTCTATAAAATATCTATGTTATAATAGTCATTCCACTATTTTAAAAAAGGGGTGTGTGTGGCTGGGGATGTAGCTTGCTGATAGACCAATTGTGGATTGAAGCCCAATAACCCCCCCAAAATCACAAATTTGTACACTTTAAATGGATGAGTTTTATGGATATAAATTAAGTCTCAACACAGATGCTGCATTTACCAATTACAGGGAATAGTCAAATTCATAAAGATGGAGAGAGCCTTTTTGCGGGAGACTGAGCAGATGCGGATATGGGGTTTGAGTGCTTAATGGGCACAGGGTTTCTTGTAGATTGAGGGAAAACGTTGAAAATCATAGCGATGGTTACATTACAAAAACTGTAATATCCTGCATACACTAAAAGGTGCTCAGAGCCAGTCACGGTGGCACACACCTATTATCCCAGCAACTCAGAGGCTGAGGCAGGAGGACCACAAGTTCCAGCCCAGCTTCAGCGCGACCAGAACAATCCGAAACAGTCTCGGGTTCCACAGCGACGACCCCCTGGCTCCGGGGTCAGAGCGACCTACACTGGAACCCCCGACTGGAGAAGCGCGACCCTGGGCTCTTTCCGCCTTCCCAGATCTGCCAAAGGCCCTTAATAACCCGCCTCTCCGCCCGGAGGCCCTGGGGGAGAGAGAGGACCGGCGGTCGGTGGCGCCCGCAGCCTCCTGGCCCAGCGTTATCCGTTATCACAGGGTGGGGACGAGAACCAGCCTTCACCGAGGAGAACCGGGCAGTGCCGGGGGCTGGGGGCTGAGCCGGGCGCGGCGCTGGAGGCGCGTCGGGCGTTGCCTAGCAGCGCGGGCGTGCAGGCGTCGGGCGTTGCCTAGCAGCGCGGGAAGCTGGCGGCTCCCACCCGCAGGCATGGAGCAGCCCCTGGCCAGCGGCAGCGACAGCGACAGCGACAGCCGCAGCGCCCCGGAGACCCTGAGCGAGGTGGTGCGGGTGCACCTGMGGAAGCTGTGTCTGCACGAGTTTCCCTGCGGCATTGGCAGCTGGGTGCGAAGGGGGGCTGGGAGGGCCTGGGGGACGGCCCGGGCGACGGCCCTGGAGACTGGCAGCGCCCACACACAGCAGGTGGCTGACCGAGACGCCCCAGGAGGGGTAGTTCTTAGTGTTTGGGCGGGGAGGGTGGACTAAGGGGACCCTGAAGCTCAAGGTGTGGGCAGAGGAAGCTCCGCCTGGGCCTGAAGGCACTGACCTCAGTGTGCAGACCTGGCACCTTCCCATCCTGAGCACAGCAGGCCAGTCTGCACCATGCAGGCGCTTCTGACTGGGTGAAGTTTCTTGGCTTCGTGGAGCTCCAGAGCCACGTGTGGGAGATGGTTCCACCTGGGCCCTGAGGCTGCAGAGGCATGGGCCTCCCCTTCTGAGGCTTGGCTGGGAAGGCTCTGCCACTTTCTGTTTGTCTAGAGGCTTCCTTCCTGGAGGAGAACCTGAGTGCTCAAAAGGCTAAGCAGTGCACCCTCTGGCCCACCCTTCCCTGCCGAGGAGAGACAGAGAGCAATGCAGTGTTGAGGAGCCTCAAAACAGGGTGAAAGAGGAAAATTTGGTTTGCTGCCCATGAAGGTCCTTTTCTCTCAAGCTTCAATCTGTACATTGACCCTGCAGACAGAACCTGTTCAGTGGGGCCACAGGAACTGTTGTCCTCACCTAGGTGGTGTGTCACCACAGGGTGGGGACAAGAGCCAGTGTGCTCAGGAATGTCTTTTGAGAGTTCTGAATGGGCCAGAGGCTGGGGCCACCCCATCACTCCATGGAAAGGAGCCTAGGAAAGCTGGTGTTCCCTTTTCATAGGAAAACTGAGAGCGTTCATTGATTTGCTTAGTTAGATGTTGGTTGAGCACCTACTATTTGCTAAGCTTTAGGGTTTCAAAGATGCATCTTGGACTGGGGCTGTAGCTTGGTGGTAGAGTGCTTGCCTAGCATGTAAGACTCTGGGTTTTATGCTCAGACTGCACCTCTTCTGGAGGTAGGGGTGGGAGAGAGTAAATTCTGGGAAAAGCACTCTTTCATCTTCCACTTCCTGAATTTACCTTTTCCTGGGCTTACCTTTTCAGCCTTGCTACTTCCTCTAGGAAAACTTTTCCTTGATTATATTCTTATATCCCGCCATTGCCTGTTGAGCCTCATGAATTTGCATAGATTGTGTCAAATATGTAATTAATCTCCCAGAGACAGGAATTGGACCTTTATCTGTACTCATATCATGGCTAATCATCAGCCAAAATTACTGGTGGCTCATGGAGATTTCTAAATTCTTTATCCTCAGTCATCTAGTCTTACAACTGAGTTTCTTTACAAGGACATGTCAGACCTAATGAAATTCTCCACCTCCAACGCTGCAGAACAGGTCGCATTTTCTTCCTCAAACATGGCGAACCTGGAGGGAGCTGACCCCCAGGGAGGAGGAGACTGTGAGCCCAGGGGAGGAGACTGTGGAGGCCCTGCTGGGACTGGTGCGTAGTCCCCACTCACCGTGGGCTCTGGTGGAGGACTCCAGTGCTGAGGACCATTTTCTGAGAGAACTGGCCATCCAGAATCCACTGATGCTCAAAGACACCTTCTTGTACTCCTATTTCCGATCACTGAGGATGGTAGACAAGCAGGTGGGTGCTACAAATGAGCACCAGATTGTAGGGGGATCTCCTGTAAGAGCTGATCCCAAGGTCAGCCCTGACTTCTCATTGAGCTCACCAGCTTGTACAACAAACAGGCCGGTATTCAGCCACGCTTTGTTGAAAGTCTTCCTCCTTCACCCTTGGAGGGAGTCCATGTGCCTCTTCTACAGCCAATTCTTAGCATGCCCTGCACTCGGCCCTCCTGGGTCCTAGTAAAGACCTTTCAAAGGACCCATATTGCTTTGGTTTGGTTTGGTTCTAGGAATTGAACCCAGAGGCACTGAGCCACATCCCCAGCCCTTTTTACTTTTTACCTTTAGACAGGGTCTTGCTAACTTGCTTAGGGCCTTGCTAAATTGCTGAGGCTGGCTTTGAACTCCTGATCCTCCTGCCTCAGCCTCTCAAGTTGCTGGGATTACAGGTGTTGTGTGCCACTGTGCCTGGGCTATACATATATATATATATATATATATATATATATATATATATTTACTTTATTTAAACTGTGGCGGGGGCTGGGATGTAGCTCAGTGGCAAAGTGTCTGCCTTGTATTTGCAAAGCCCTGGGTTCAACCTCCAGTTCCAAAAAAGCAAAAAAAAAAAAAAAAAAGAACCCCACCAAAAATAAATAAATAAATAAAACAAACCCTTTAAATTGTGGGAACCAGGGTGGGGTGGGGCTGGAGAACATTGGCATAGTGTTGACTTATTTATTTCTGTTACTAAAAAATCTTTGCTTAGATCAATAACAGTTCACAAGTTGCATAGAAACTGAGTCTCAGCCTTCCTGAGCCTTTGCTTCCTTTTACGGAGAAACTGGGAAGTTACACGTAACCAGAAAATGAATAGGGTGACCAGTTTGCTTGTGACTTTCCCTGTGTTAGTGCTGCAAGTTTTATGTCCTGGAAAGTCCCTCCATCCTAGGCAAATGGGCATTTGGTTGCTCTAGGGAAAAGAAGCCCCGCCAGGAAGGACCCCTGATATCCTTGAGATCACTCAGTTCCTTGGGAACTGAGGATTTATGGGTAGGATGCTGAAGTTTCTCCTCTGACCTTGCTCCGTACAAGCCAGGGTGGTTTCTAAATACTTTAACCAGCTTTGGTGCCAGGCAGGCAGTAGGTTACCATGGCTCTGCCCTCCCAAGAATCTCACGGTCCAGCAAGGGACATAGGACATTGGCCTGGAAATCCCATAGCTACTGTCAGTGAAGGGGCAGGGGAGGAAGTGGCCCTGGAGCCCTGCGAGTGGATCCAGTGAGATGGAAAAGGGATGGAGGGGTTGGCAAGACTGGAAGAACTGTGTGTTCCTGTTGGCTTGTGCTGCGATGTCACCTGGCCCTCTGGAGGCCTCACTTCCTTCCCTTCCTTTCAGGTGAGCCTGGTGGATAAGGACCTCCTAAAATTTATAAACCTTGAGGAGCTGATCCTGAGTGCCAATAAAATCAAGGAAGTCAATGCTGCCAATCTGCCCCCCACACTCAAGGTACGGGAGCCCCAGAGACCCTGTCTCTGATCTTCCCTGCACAGGTTTGGCCAGGGAGGCTCTGCATTAAGGCCCAACCTCAGGCCTTTAACTGTAGGCCATGTTCCTCAAAAAAGTGGACCCACAACACCCAAAAGGACAGAGGGCAGGGTCCCTAACAGTTTCCTATTCATCAGTGTTTAGTAGCCAGAAGTGGAAAGAATCCAGGTGTCTACAACCACACACCCGTGGATAAAAGGTGACCTGTCCACGTAGTGGGATATAATTCATCCATTCAAGAAAGGAATTCTGATATGTCACTGCATCGTGAGGGACCCTAGAAAATGGCAAGCTGGGTGAAAGGAGTCAGGCCCTCAGGGGCCAATCTCATTTGATTATACTTCTGTGAAATATCTAGAAGAGGCAAATTCACAGAGATAGACAGGGATTAGAGGTCACCGTGGCCTGGGAGAGGGAACAGGGAGTGAGTGACTGCTTAGAGGTCTGTTTGGGGTGATGATGCTTTTGGGAACAGTGGTGGTGGTGGCACAGCATTATGGATGTCACTGAACGGTACACTTAAAAATGGAGGAAACGGCGAATTTATATTAGGTACGTTTTCCACAAAGAGGCAGGCGGGCTTCATCGTGAGTGCTCTGCTGAGCATGTCGCCTGGCCCCAACCCTAAGCTGAACACCGAGAGTAGTGACCACGGAGGGAGAGAGCAGGTCTGGCTCTGGCTGGAGACACCAGGTTTGGCCCTGGTGACACATGTGAGTGAGGAGGACAGTTTGCACATATCCACTTAGTGGGATCCATTCCCTCTTCCATCAGGGTCCCTCGGGGCTTTCCCAGGGACACTTTCCCACTGCGTGTCTGCAAGAACTTCCTGCACACCTCCATCACCTCCCCTTCCAAGCTTGGAAGTCATCTTCACAGAAGGGAAAGGAAACTTCCCTCTCTGCTGCAGGAAAAAGTTCCTCCTGCATTTTAAAAAATGCAGTCCAGTTGGGCACAGGAAGCCAGGCCCCAAGCAGTCCACGATTCCTTTCCTGAGTTTCCCGGGGCCGCGGGCAGAGGGCAGGCAGGCAGGCAGGCTGAGCCCTCCAGTCCGGGCCTCCTCGGCTGTCACTAGGTGCTGGAGCTGTATGGCAACGAGATCCGCAGCATGGAGTGTCTGTGTGCTCACCCACCCCCTGGGCTCCAGCATCTGGGGCTGGGCCACAACAAACTGCTGGGCCCCTTGGAGAGTCTCTATGTCACCAACAACTACTGGTAACTGGGGAGCTGGGAGGGCAGGTGCGGGAGGGAGGCTTGCTTCTGTAACTTCTGTGTGGCTGCAGAGTCGGCTCAGGATCTCAGAATGACTCAATAAAAAATCCCACTGACATCCAGGGAAGAGTAGGGGGAGCCCTGCTTCAGAAGAGGATCTCTCAAAGTGGGCTCCGTTGACACTTGGGCCTGTCACTCTGTCGTGGGACTGTTCTGGGCATTGTAGCATGGGTAGCAGCATCCCTGGCCTGAACCCACTCGATTCCCTCCTGGGACAGTCAAACAGTACCTAGGAGGAGGGGAGGACTCAGCCCAGGCTGAGAACACTGTCCTAGAGTTCCCTTGTCATTACAACCCCAGCATCCATCAGAGTTTGTGCAGAACAGTCCCCTCTTGGTTGTTGACATTGGATTTTGTCTCCTTGGCGGGGGCGGGGGGGGGGTGAGTGACAGTGGAAAACTTAAAATCCTAGACCTGAGAAGTGAGAGRGTCACCCACCATCCCTAAAAGACTGCCACGGAGAGCTGGGGCAAAGGGAGCACCCTGCAAAGAGAACTGGGGTCCAGCCCCTTGGCTAGCGGTGCTGTGGGTGCAGCTCCCCTGCTTCCTCTGTCACAGCCTGGAAAGGGCTGGAGGTCAGCACGGAAGGCACCTCCTTCCGTCCCCTAGGTAGCCCCGGGACAGGCCTTGTGCTCCAGCCACACCTGCTTGGAAGGCGGGGTGCAGTGGAGAGGAAAGTCCCTCTCTCATGATTTCCTCCTTCCTCTCCCTGCTCTGTGGCCCCTGACCAGGCTCGGCCCTGTCCAACTGGGATTCCTTTCTTCCATTGCCTGTGGCCATCAGGGAGCGTAGACAGGAAACCATATACTTTGGACTTCCTAGGACAGCAAATTTAGGCTCTTGCTGTTGACAGAGTACCGAGTGTCCCGATTTTGATTTGGAAAACATGCCCAACCTGGTGCTTCGGGCCAAGTGGGGATCACGTAGAAACCTGTACGTGAGCCTCCGTCTTGGGCTGTTTGGGAATCAAAAGGACATCTGTGCTGATGTTGCCTGGTTCTCTTGAAGGTCGGGTCAAGGCTGTGTGCTGATCCCCACGAACTGTTCCTCTCGCATACTTCCCTCTGACTGGCCTGTGACTATCAAGGGCAGGACAGGCCATCAAAAAAGGCGAGGGAGGAGAGGGAGGGGGTGAGTTCACTGTGTGGAAGGTGCTGCTGATGGGTGTTCCCTGCTCTTTTCCTGGCCTCTGTCTCAGAGCTGAAGTCACTTTGCTTTCTAGTTTGTGACAGTGGGRAAAGCTGCTCCACTCCCTCCCGTGCCTGGCTCATCACCCAGGGCCCTGGGATTCGCCTTTGCCCGCCCTTCCTGCCCTTCACAGGCTGGGATGGGAAACGTCTCCTTTCCACTTGCTGGCACGGTCTTCACGCTTGTCCCCCAGGAGGCGAACCCAGTGGCCATGTGTCAGTCTGGCTTTGAAGAGTGACCTCCAGCTTGAGATCCCTGGACCCTACAGCTTCACCCACCCTCCTCCCAGGTCCCCATTCCAATCCCACTCCTCCCCTTCCTGCTCTTCCCCACAGTGACTTCCTGTCTGTCAATAGGGAGAACCTTCTAGATGCACATGAAGTTGGACTTTTGGCTAGAGAGCTCTGTGTGACTGGGTCATGGGGGTAGGTTGTGAGGGCTGTCTCTGGGCTCTGAGGATGGCAGTGTTCCAGAGAGGGGAGAAGCAGGCTTGGGCATTACCCTGTGTCCAGGACAGAACAAAGTGTGTGGGCCGAGCTCTGTCCTGGGTGTAGGGCATGTCCCTTGCTCACCAGGGTCCCTAACTCCTGGGTGGCCTGATCCACCTTCCAGGCCCAACCTTGTCTCCCTGGATCTGGGCTTCAATGACCTGACAGACCTGCAGGGCATGATGGTCAGCCTCAGCACACTCAGGCACCTGCGGCTGCTGGTGCTGCAGGGGAACCCGCTGGCCCTGGTGCCCTACTACCGAGGCTTCACCATCGACAGCCTGACCCGGCTGTGCGTGCTGGATGACATCACTGTGTCTCCCAACGAGAAGCATCAGTTCCGGGGATTCAGCCTCAGTGGCGGTGGGTACAGCCATGGAGGGAGGGGGCAGGGACCCGGCTCCACACCTTGAACCTTTGTCTGTGGCTCCCCATTTGACCCGGGCCCTCATCAGATGTAATAAACCTTCTGGATCTGGGTTTTCTCCAGATATTGACCCCTGTGACTGGGCCCTGGGGACAGAAGTGGTAGGAGGGCTTCCACAGCTTTTAGCCAGTTTCTTCACTTTTGAGGTGGCTTGAGTTCACCCCCTTGTGGCCCATCATGCAAGGTGCATCAGAGCCTTCCCAAGGTCAGACAGAAGCCTGACAGCTTCAGCATTCCAAGCACAAGCTGAGATGGCAAATATTCCTGACCTCTCACCCTCTCAGAACTGGCTCTGTAAAGCTTCTATTAGAACCTCCATTTGACAACTGGGAGCAGTGGCACAGGCACGGAGGCTGAGGCAGGAGGATTGTTTGTTCAAGGCTAGCCTYAGTAACTCAACGAAACCCTGTCTCAAAAATAAAAGATAAAAAGGACTGGGATGTAGCTCAGTGGTAGAGCRTCCCTGGGTTCAATCCCTGAATCCCTAGTACCAAACAAACCCCAAATAACCCCCATTTGACAGATCAGGAAACCAAGGCTTCAGAGAAGCCAAATGCCGTATCCTAAATCACTCCCATTGAACTTGGTGGAGCTGGGACTTGAACCTCTGCATGGAGGGGAGGACCCAGGGACCAGCGCCTTCCCGCCCTGTCTTGCTGTCTGCCAACTCCCAGCCCTCCATGTTCCTCAGTCTTGTTACTCCTTCTTGCAGACTTCCTGGCACAAGAAGCACAGTTTGTGGTGTCCATTGGAAACGTCAAGGGCGTTGTGGACACCTCTATCTGGGACCCGGAGCCAGGCCCCGAAGGCCCTTTCATCACCTACAACTATTACGTGACCTACGACTTTGTGGAAGAGGAGCAAGGCGAGGGGAGCCAGTATGGTGGCGTGCTGGCCGAGGTGCCCGGCTGAGTCAGGGAGTAGGGTGGCTCCTTGCCCAGGCCCACGGGGTTTCCTGTGCAGGCAGAACAGCCCCGGGAGGCCTGGGAAAATCCTTAACATGGATTCACAGCCCCTTTCTGCTTAGGGCCCTGGCTCCAGCCCAGCCCCAGCCAGGATGATTGTCAGCAGTGAGCACCTTGTGTCCCTGTGACATCTGAGCCTGACACGGGAGCAGCCTGGAATTTTATACCCAAGCCCAGAGCTTCTGGCCCCACTCTACAGTTTCCATGATGTCTTTCACCCCTCCACATCCCATGAAAAGCAGGGGCTCCACGGGGCTAGGAGAAACGTGCTGCCTCYGACTTCTCATGAGGAGGTTGCATGCTTCATCTTTGGTCTCCCAAGTGAGCTGCTCATGCCTTGGGTTCCTGCAAGGCTGAGGTGTGGCTCAGTGGTGGCCTGCTTACCTAGCATGCGGGAAGCGCAGTGTTCCATTCCAGCACTAAAAAAAGAAAATCCTACCGCCCTGATCTCTGTGTCCATAGACACTCAGGGAACATCAGAGCGTGTGTCCTGTCTCCCCTGGCAGATTGTCAGGCCCTCCAGCGCAGAACTTGTAGGCGATGAGCTGCAGGGGGGGTCAGAGGTGCAGCTGTTGGAGGAGCTTCAAGAGGCCAATGAGTCCCAGGAGTCGGGGGCGACGGAGATGGGAGAGTCAGAGTTGTCCTTCATCTCAGGCCGCTCAGCCCTGCCAGTGCCCCTCTCCTCCATCAACTCTGCAGAGGAGCTGGCAAAGCTGCGGCCACGGATGGATCCCCGGCTCTTCCCATCCCCTGGGTAAGGATAGGACCCGGCTAGGAGCAAGGACTGGGGTCTCCATCCAGGGTGACAGCAGACTTAGGCTGCACCCACTGCCTCCCCTGAGCATCCTGATGGTTGAGTGCTCCAGCCGAGGCCACAGTCTTTTTAGCTGGCCCCTTGGCCAAGAGCCATAGGGGGTAGGTGTGGGATTGGCAGTCAGCACTCCTTTCCCAGAACCYTAACCTTCCACTCAAGTGCATCTGAACCTCAGGTCCCTGAAGGGCTAAGCTTTCTAGAATGATCGACTTTCTTGTTGCATTTTAGCCCTGGGATTGGAAGCTTTTCATGCAAGCTTTTGAGTCCATCTGGAATGTATTCTGGCATACGAAGTGTGGCAAGGACCTTCCAGTCTGTGCGCCAGGTTCTTCCTTGCCCTCAATAACTCCAGTCTCGTCCCCTCCTCAGGTTTCGCACATGCCACCCATTCTGCCTTCTTTGTTCCAGAAGCTTCTTTGATGATGGAGAATTTTACTGGAATCCAAGCCAGTTCCCACAGTGTAGGAGCTCCATGAGTGGAGTTTGTAGAGTCTCAGAATGTTGAGCACATATAGATTTACTTAGGAATTCCTGTCACAGCTCCCTAATGCTTGTCAGTTGTTTAACTGTGGCTCTTCTGTTGGTGTTGGGGTCTCCAAGACTAGGCCCAGGTTTGGATCCATTAGGACTCTCAGGGCTTGCCATCCAGCCTTTCTCATGGCTGAGATTTATTGCAAATTTATTACAAGCCCAGAGRAACTCGGGCATGGCTGCCAAGAGTCCTGTACCAGAGGACATGCTGTGTTTGGGGGAGTTCCTCTTTGATTCTCTTACCCATTTTTAAAAATCACATTGCCTGTCTTTTTCTTACTGATTCATAAGATTTCCTTTTGTGTACAAACGTCTTCTGGATATACACTCTTCTTGGTGACAAGCGCAGCAAGTCACTTTCCCTTTTGTCTGGTTTGCCTTTTCACTCCCTACATAGTGTCATTTGATGAACAGAAGTTTTCAATATTAATGCTTTTGTTTAAGGAATCTTTCTATACTCTGCACTGATTTTTTGTTGTTGTGAATTTCCCATTTCTCCACTGTCTTCTCTGTGCCATGTTCCTTCCTGGTCTCCTGCTCCCCTGGTCCTCTCCGGTAATAGCCAGACCCCCAATCTCGTGCTATTTTGGGGTATGTAGTCTTTTTTGGAAGTCCCCTTAGAGCCTTGTCCCAAGTTCCCAGCCACAGCCCTGGATGATGGCGCCCATGTCTGCATCTCCCCCTAATCAAGGACCGTCCTCTTCAGCACCAACCATAAGCCCTGGGCTGATGTCATTTCCTACAACTATGAGATGCAGCACACCTTCAAGGACCTGGTGCCACTCAAGGCCTTCCTACTGTCGGGGACCACTGTGACTATTGTGGAGGAGAAGGTGGGCAGAGGCCTGRCTCCCTGGTTAGATGCTTCTCAGCCCCTTTCTAGAAAGAGCGAGGGAGAGGTGACTCTGCTTACTTGAKGCCATGTCGTGTTCCCCAGATCGTTTCCTGGGCTGTGGTGCCACTTCCTGTTGAAATTCCCTTGCCTGCCAAGAAAGGAAAAGGGGAGAAAGACAAGAAGGAAACTGATGGGAAAAATAAGAAAGGGAAAGCGGAGAAGGAACCCCGCAAGGTACTGGCACACCCAGCCCACAGCAGGGGACCGTGCACGTGGAGGGGACAGATGCCTGGCATGGTCCTTTGCCTGGCCCTGTCCCACCCTCCTGGCCTCCCACCTCAGGAACAGAAGACACCCAAGAAAAAGAAAGAAATTCCCAAGGAGCTCCGCCAGGAACCGTCTGTGCTGCGGGTGCTGGGTAGCAACTTGGTGGCCCTGGAGCCATTGCTGGCAGGGGAGTCCCAGGTGTCCACTGTGTGCAATTATGGGGTCATCCGCACCCTGGAGTCTGACAAGATGACATTAACTAGGGTACAGTGGGCTGCAACCATGTCCTCTCCTTCCCCCTCTCCAAGAATGCTTGCCCTGCCAGGAGCCTGGGGAGGATGGAAGAGGGACCTTCCCCTGGGAGTGCGGCTGATGTTCCTCCAGTGTGGGCCAGCTCAGGCATCTCCTCACCTGGAGCCCCCCACCCTCCTGGACCAGTCAGAGGCCCTGGGATGAGTGGGAGCCCCTAGGCCTTCTTGGGGTCTATATCTGCCCCTTCCCCAGAAGCCCCCGACTCCAGTCAGCATCTTATTTGGTCATTCTTTCTTTCAGGATTTAAAGAAGACCAAGAAAGGGGCCAAAAAGGGTAAGAGCCAACGCATGTGGTGGCTGATGGCAAGGGCTGGTTGCTGAGGCCCTGCTGAGGGGCCAGCCTTGACTGGAAGCCACAGGGTGGGGGACTGAGAACTGTATCTTCCAGCCAGTGGGGAGGCCACATCCACCCTGAGGACTGGACCCCCATCCTCCCTGCAAGTCCCAGAGGCAGCAGCCTGCTGTGCGGCGGCCGTGATGGGTGGGGAAGGGCATTGTGGTGCCCTGGAGGAAGAACCAAGCTGAGGTGGCTCGGGGTTCTTTTGGCTGCAGCTCTAATTGGTTAGATAAGAAGCCTGGATTTATTCTGAGTGGCCAGTGAAGTTTCTGAACTAGGTAAGCTTCAGATTTGTGTTTTTAAAAGATCAGGAAGGGAAAGCAAAACTTGAAAGGATCAAACCTAACTGTATCTTAGCACAAATCTCAATAAGAATACAAAAAAATATCCCTCAGGTAAAATTTACGATGTCTGTCATCCAATAAAAAATTACTAGGCATGAGTCGGGTGCAGCGGCGCATACCTGTAATCCCAGTGGCTCTGGAGGCTAAGGCTGGAGGATCACAAGTTCAAAGCCAGCCTCAGCAAAAGCGAGGCACTAAGCAACTCAGTGAGACCCTGTCTCTAAATAAAATATAAAATAGGGCTGGGGA